GCCTGCATCCTCACACGTCCTACCTATGACCCTGCCCACCTGCATCCTCACACCTCCCACCTGTGACCCTGCCCACCTGCATCCTCACACCTCCCACCCGTGACCCTGCCCGCCTGCATCCTCACACGTCCTACCTATGACCCTGCCCACCTGCATCCTCACACCTCCCACCTGTGACCCCGCCCACCTGCATCCTCACACGTCCTACCTGTGACCCCGCCCACCTGCATCCTCACACGTCCTACCTGTGACCCTGCCCACCTGCATCCTCACACCTCCCCCCTGTGACCCTGCCCGCCTGCATCCTCACACCTCCCACCCGTGACCCTGCCCGCCTGCATCCTCACACCTCCCACCTGAAAGTGTATTGTGTGCATTCTTCTCTAACTTGCTCTTTTTCAACCTTGACATTATATCTTTGAAATTCACCTTTGGTGATACGCATCCTTCTTTTCCACTGTTGGACGGTGTTCGTTTCTCACTCATCTTTACCCACAGCCCTGTGAGGGAGGAAGAAGTAAACTAGGCAGCACATGGCTTCAGTCCACCAGTCAGGCCTGCACCCTGCAGCCCAGCCAGACCAGGACAGAAGAGGAGGGCGGAGAGGGCAGGCTTCACGTTTGCTCAGGGCGGGCGGGGCACTGATGCAGAATGAACTGGCGGCAGAGGACCAGGGGGCTGAGTTGAGGGAAGGATGCAGAAGTCTGTTCTTCCTGAAACCCTCTGATGGTCTCATGTGGTGGTGGGTGTTGTTACACCTGTTTATGACACGTGCTGGGAAGCTTGCGCAAAGTCACAGACCTAACACGGTGGAAACCCAGGTCTGGGTATAAACAGTGCCACGTATTTGTTGCCAATTCCCCGGCCTTGGCCCTCATCTCACCCCGGCGGGTGCGCCCTGGGTGTGCGGACTTTCTCTGGGGACCGGTTCCCGTCAGCGTCACTGGTCCCACACCCAGCGGGACAGGCGTGGCCCTCAGGGTGGGTGGTGCTGGGCCGGGGGTCGGGGGGGTGGTGGTGCGTGCCTGGCCCCGGCCTTGACCCTGACCCTGACCGTGACCCTGACCGCGCTGTGTGCTTGCCCACAGGGGATTTCCCAAGAAGGCCAGCAGAACTGCCCGCATTGCCTCGGACGAGGAGATCCAGGGCTCGAAGGATGCCGTCATCCAGGACCTGGAGCGGAAGTTGCGCTTCAAGGAGGACCTGCTGAACAACGGGCAGCCGGTACAGGGCGGGGTGTGCTGGGGTGGGCGGGGTCTGGAGCTGCCCCCGAGCCCTTCCCTCTCCCCCAGGCCTAGGGTCCCGAGTCGTGTCCTCACTGCTGGCCCGGTACCCCGAACCCCCACGTTCCTCTGCGTGGTGAGGCTTGGGTCCGGGAAGTGGGGAGGGGAGAAGGCTGCTTTCTGCTGCCTCCTGTCATGGACCATTCCTGGGGCATCACAGCAGGTTGGAGGGAAGGGAGGGAGGAAGGACTGAGGGTGAGGCCGGGGTAGGGCAGTGAGGACCTGCGACCTTACAGAGAAAAAGGAACAAATCCCGCTGGAGGGGTAGGCGTGGGGAGATCCATGCCCCCCAGTGACCTGTCTCTGCTGGAAGCAGTGAATCGGAATTAAAGTTCCAGAAGCAGAATTTGGATTCCGGGCCCTGCAGTGCTTCTGCACAAAAAGCATCTTTCCTTAGGAGACCATGGCTGGAGTCTAGAGTGTTAGGAGACACGGATTCCGTCACCTGAAAGAGGAGCCTTGCTTCCCATCCTCGTTCTAGTCTGTCAGGGCAGGACAGCTCAGCTCAAGGAGAAAATAGGAATTCTGTTTCAAGGCTGCAGAATTGTGAAGTCGACCAGAGTAGCTCTGGTGACAGTGTGGACAGATGTTTCCTCCAGTGGACCTAGTGTTTCCTTGCCAGTCTTTTTTGTTCGGTTTTGGGGGTTACTGACCCTTTTCTTATCACATCAGAGTACTTCAAGGGGACAGGAAAAGCAAGTCTAGCAAAGGAGATCTCAGGTAGGGGAAAGGAGCCTTTTGTGCTTTATTATGGGGAAGTTTGCCCAGCTCTTAAGTAGAAGCAGAAAAGGGCCTCTTTGTATAAAATCTCCCTCACACACCTTTTTCAGGAGAGAGAGTCTCTGTACTAATTAAGTTTTCTAGGAATTGTAATTATCAAGCGTTGATGGATAAGAATGTGAGCACAGGCCGCATCTGACGGGAAGATGGTGACTAGAGGAGGGTGTTGGATGCTGGTCTTAATTATCAGGATCCTGACCTGAGCTCAGGAAGATTAAAATGCTAATGAGTTCCTGTGTTGGTGAGTGATGTCGAAGAGAAGATTTTCACCAAGGGAAAATATATTCTCCCTGAAATAAGTGGTTGCACGTGTAAGTGTACGTATTCTGGAAGTTTGCCCTGGCTCTGTCAACCAGAGCCTTTGATAGATTAAAACAAATACTTAAGGGAACTTTTTCAATCCAGGTAAAGGCATCTCTCCAGGTTTTTTTTTTTCTTTTTCTTTTTTTTTTGGTTGGTTGTTTAAATATTCCTTATGGACTAACTCTTGGTTAAAAAGTAAGACTTCTATAAGCCCTAACGTTATACTACGTGTATTTATTTTCGTTATATATATATCATGTGTCTCACGTATAAATATATATTTTTGGTATTTGTTTAGCAGTGAATGACATTTCCAGTATTTTCCATAGATTTCCACATTTGAGAGTTTAAAAAAGACAAGAAAAGTAAGGTTTCCTTTCTTAGAAAATGAGACCCTGAAATAGCTTTTTCCTGATGTTGCACATCATTCCATACTTATTTCCGGCTTCTTAGAGCTCGTCTGTCCAAACGGCGTAGTAGTTCAGAAACAAAACTATGAAGTGACTTTGCTTCCTGGTGGGAGCAGGTACATCTGGTGGAGGCCTGGGTGTCACACGATGCTTCTGCTCCAAAGGGACGGGGTGGCATCGCTCCAGTCCTCGCTGGGATGCTGCTGTAGTCGTCCCTGCAGACGTTAGGAAGGCTTTTAAGAGAGCAGGTATTTAAAACTCTCTCTGAAAACTGAATTCATGATTTTTTAACACACGTGAGAAAATTAAACAGCACCTTACTGTACGAGACATTCCGTGCAGCAGACACTGCCCCTGCCTCTTCTCATCCTCGGCCCCTTCTTTACGAAATGAAATAAGTGGAACTTCAGGTCTTTTGTCGTCTGGCACTTGTCTTATTTCTCTTCCCGGTCTCCGCTGGGACTGGAACCAGCAATTGCTGGAAGTCAGCAGTTTACCCAACATATTTTCCTGATGAGATCGTTTCCAGTAGAATCTGTGTCTAGATTCACGAGTTTGGAAGTTTATCTGAAATAACTTGTGCAGGATTTGGGGGGTTTTTTTGTGTTTGTTTTTGGGGTTTTTTTTGGATTCTGCTGTACTAGTTACTCTCTATCTTGAATCAAACGCTTGTTTTTAAAATGCCCCCGATGGGCCGATGGTCATATTAGAGCCAGCGCTCAAGAGCGGCCATCCGCCCAGCAGACAGAACACGAACGTGGACATTTCTCTCGTGTTTGGCCCAAAGCGCCGGCCGGTCGGTGCAGAAGCCTCACCGCCCTCTTTGCAGACGGTCTCCCCAAGTAGGCTTGTGAGCCGTGGGTATCAGCTCAGCAGGCATCTTTCACGGCCCCTCTGCCAAGTCCACGTGTGTAGTCATCCTTTGTGGGTTATTGCATGTGCTTGTGTTCACCTCGGATACCCAGCCCCTGGGAAGTGCTGTCAAAGCAGAGGGGACCGTCACTGCCCGCTGGCCTGAAACTCCCTCATCAGGCAGTTCTGAAGCCTGTGGATGGCTATGAAAATAACATTTCCTGTAAAAAGAACATTTTGCTGTTTCAGTATCTTTTTTCTCTATGTTTATCGTCAGGGGTAAATATATGACTCGTACTTTTAGGTGACTTCTCCCCTGTTGCTCAGTCTGTGCTCTGTCAGTTGGTGGCTCTGAGGATGGGTCACCCCACCTCCCAACCCAGGGTCAGGACCAGAAGGGCCGGTGAGAGCAGCTGAACAAGGGGAGGAGAGGACTCCTGTGCGTACGGGCGTCAAGGCGGAGAGGGAGCAGTTGCAGAGAACGGCCAGCGTGTTTGCTATGACAGCTCTTTTTCCTGAGGTGTAGCAGCATTGTGGTTTTTCTGATTTCTGTGACTTGCTTCGTCTAGAGGCTGACGTACGAGGAAAGGATGGCACGGCGGCTGCTGGGTGCCGACAGCGCGACCGTCTTCAACGTCCAGGAGCCTGAAGAGGAGGCGGCCAGCCAGGTACCCCGTTCCTCCTGGCTCCCCAGGGTAGCAGATTACCCTGTCCCCTCTCCCTGCCCTCCTTACGGACAGTCTTGGGGTCAGCTCTGTGGAGAGCAGGGCGGGTCAGAGGAAGGAGCATTGTCATCAGGTCAGCCTCCCAGCCAGCGTTTACTGAGCACATACTGTGCTGAGTGAGTGATGGGATTTATTTCGGTTGGTGACACCTGCTCATTTTATCTTCTTATCGATTCGTTTCTCTCCTTTCAAGTATCTTTCTGTTTTTCCTGTCCTGGGCTGTAATGCAGAATAGGTTTGTGTGGAGGAACATATGTTCACTGAAATTGTCTGAAATCACTAGTGACTATTTCCAATTATGTTCTTAATATCTCATCCAGGTAAAATACCTATGTACGGGAAAGACTGTTTTCCTCCACGGATGTAGTTGTAAAGCACTAATCAGCAGAGAACCTAAAATGCTAACATTTTGTTCCCCTGTTAACACCAAAAAATAAGTCACTTCATGGATTTGATGTAAATAAACTGTTTTATAATCTCCACTGCTTCTGTTTGGAGTCTCCAGATGTAGTTCAGATAAAAGAAAGCTTTGTAACACAAGTTTAAAGGATCAAGTAAACTCTTTCTCGTGTCTCTTAAGAAATGGATCAGCCTTCAAAATCTGAAAGGTTCTCTGTGTTAAATATCGCTGCCACACAGCTTCACTTAAAGCTGCAAATCTTGTGAGATTCTTGCTGTTCTGTACTGGGCTTCACTTCTTTTTTTTCTACCATTACAGGACCCTGGGTCTCCTCATGCTTCTGTAGGGAGTCCTCTGGATGGTCAAAAGGTCACGCTTTCACCTTTCTTTTCTCCCCAGTCTTTCCCTGTATCTGTTTCTTCTCTTTTTCCTCGTTTACCTGTGTATCTATAGTTAACTGCCACACATTAACTATAAGTACTCCGACCAGTGTCTATTTTCATTTAATATCAGATGGACAGAATTAACTGCCGTGTGATTTTCGTGTCATTTATTTACAAACTTGAATTTGATTCTGTCCTTTGTGGCTACGCTGAATTTTAAATTGTGAAAAGTTTCTCATTTGTTAAACCTTTGTAGGGGGAAAAAGAGCTAATTCTTAAACTGACTGATTTGATACTATTTAGACAAAACAACTTGTGTATTTTTTGCAGTTTTATCCATACTGTTGAATTTCTTCCTTCAAGGCAACAGACTGTTTTGTGAAGGTTGAGTACCTTAAGGGAAAACCTCGTTAAAACAACCTTTCATTTAATATTAAATAGAGAATATCTCATAATGGGCTGCCTTGTCTTTACTGTACTTTGTCAGCAAGAGATCTGCAGGCTCCCCCTTCACCACCAGAGGATGGTGACGGGGACTTTGCTCTGCTCCTGTGTTTTTCACCAGACATTTGACTGGACCGTCAGTCCTCGGGAGGAGAATGGCTGCTCAGAGCTGCAGAGCTGAGGGAGAGCCCGAGGCTGTGTGGCGAGGGTTGTTAGGAGGAGGGATTGTGGTACCATTTCTCCATCACTCGTTTGCTGGGAGGCCGAGTGAGCTTGCAGCTGCCCCCCGCCTGTGCGGCTGCCCTTCTGAGCAAGTGCCCCACCAGACGGAGGAAGCAGTGTGCCGTCATGTTTACTGTTCATGAATGGTTTAGGAATGGCTGTTGCCTTTTTCTTTCTTCTCCCCACCCCAAGAGAAGAGAGAAGGAAATTCATCTTCATAGTTGGTTTGGTTTTGTTTTGGATCATAGGACTTGAGGACAGTCTGAAATATCGTACATACTTACTTCCAGATGTTCTTTGTTTTATATGGAGCTGAATTGGGCACAGGCTCCTTTTTTTAGCTCTGTGGTGAAAACATCACTGTCTTCTGGGCGCCTTACTGGAGAGGGGATAAGACGTGGGCCTTGGGGGACTCGGTACCGCGTGGACCGAGGTCGGTGACGTGACCTTTCTCTCTGATTCAGGAGTACAAAGTCTCCAGCTGTGAGCAGAGGCTCATCAGTGAAATCGAGTACAGGCTGGAAAGGTCCCCTGTGGAGGAGTCGGGGGAAGAGGCTCCCTGTGGGGACGCGTCTGTGGAGAGTGGAGTGGCCCCATTCTTCGAGACGAAGCTGAAGCATTTCAAGATCTTTGAGGGGATGCCCGTGACCTTCACGTGCAGAGTGACCGGGAATCCAAAGCCGAAGGTGAGCTGCAACAAGGCTTCTTAAGAGTTGTGTTCCCCAAGGATGCGTTTGGCTCCCAGCATGCCACACGCCATTGCAGCATTAGGGGGAACAGGTGCAGACTAAGCTTCTCAGTACCCGTGATGTAAAACGCTCGAGTTCAGGGCCGTCCTCAGGAGGCACTGGAAACCAGCAAGGGTAGAAGAGTAGAACAGGACAGGACAGAATAGAATAGTAGAATAATGGACAAGGAGCCTTTCATAACCCACATCATTTACTCATATGATGTTGCCATTGTTACACCCAAATTGCAGACGACCAGGCTGAGCTCAGGGGGGTTAATGAACTTTCCCCGGGTCAGAAAGCTGTGAGTGGCCAGGCTTGAACTTGAATCTGCCCGTGCTCTGTACCAGACAGAGGAATAAAGCTACCACAGGTGATGGAAACTGCAGATCTTTAGTCTACAAAACCAAGGCCTCCTGTGTTTACAGAGGCGGTGGAAGCAGGAATACTGTGAGAAAGGGTCCTCCGAGAAGCTTCTGGTACCGAGGATGAGGCCGGCCTGGCCGGAGCCCTGTTCCTGCAAGCACGTGGGGATGCTGGAAGGAGGGAGGGTGGCCCTCTCTTTAAGGAGAGACTGGAATCACTGCTCACTGGACCCGCAAAGTGGCAAACAGGACTACACTTTTCCCTAGAACTTGAGAGAAGAGAATAAAAGAGGCACCCATGAGAAGCTGAAACTCCAGATTCACACTCTCACAGGATACAGAGCCCAAAGCTGAGAAATTAATATGAAATTTAGTCCAGGATGATTATAATCCTAAGGTTTCTGGCAGAAGCAAGTAAAAATTGCCCCATAAAGGACTTCCACACTGGGGCCTGTCAGACATCTACAGGGCAGGAGGGGGAAAAAGTGAGTTCACAAGAAAAACTCACAGACCCGGCGAGCAAACAGGGTCCACAGCAAAAGAAACGGGAGAACAGAAGCCACAGTGCCACACAGGATAGAGCCGTCTTGAGGGGACTCCTCTGAAATTACTGTGTTTAAAGTGATGGAAACAATTCTAAAAGGAATAGACACTTTAGTGAAAGAATAGGACCAGAGACAAGGCACATGTAAAATAAGCATGCAAAAATGAACACTGTACTCCCTGAAATTAACATTTCAACAGGGGCTGGTGTGAAAGAGCCGGAATGAGACCGCGTGAGACAGGAGCAGGGGCCGGGCCGGGGCCACACCTGAAACTGTGGGGGGCTCGTGCTCTGGGCTCCCTCCGTTGTTCTGTTTTCACAGTAAGGAAAGTTTTACCACCGTACTCTCCCTAAAACCGAATCCCAGCCCCACAGTCAGAAAAAGATAGACCAAAAAAATTAGCTTTATATTTTCAGAGCCATTGCCACCTCCTAATGAGACTTCACAAATCAACTGTTGTTAGAGAACACACGTCTGTATTATCTTGACATCATTGGATCATTGGTGTGTGTTCACACACATGATATCAAATGCATGTATTAAAAATAAACGTGCAGCTTATGAGTGGAACTCATAATTATATCATGAACTTCCAAAATAGTCACAAAAAGAACCCCATGTTCTTTTTCAACCTTACTCAAGGCACGGTTACTGATGGGCTTCTAAGATCACTGAATCCTGTTCTTAAAGAACGTTATGTTCGCCCGAGAGGCGGGCTTTTGTTTTAATGTGACTGTCTTGTTCTCCTACGACCTTGAATGTTTCACGGCCGTTAAGAGGTTGATTTTCCAGAGCGTTTTCCTGTTAGATGTTCTTCTGTTCTCCTGGCTGCCATTCTTTTTCTTCCCTCCCTGGTTTATTGAAACCTGTTTCTCCTGCACATGTTCTAGCAATTATATTAGGATTGTTGGCGTATGGAATACTCATCGTGTTTAAAAATATATATTTTTTTAGCTTATGGGTTTTTTTTTTTAAATTTTTTTACTCTGCCCTTGACATGCTTGTTCCATTGAGATATGAGAAGATGGAAGAGAATTTCTAGTTCACCCTGTTTTCATCTCTTGTACCCTTCCTGCCCTGTGTTTTAGCAGTCTTGGTAAAGTTTTGGAACTGTCTCTTAATCTCATTTGAAAGTTGGATTCCAAGTACAATAGAGGTGAAAAATATGATTAAAGGAGAGAAGTAGGGCTTCCCTGGTGGCGCAGTGGTTGAGAGTCCGCCTGCTGACGCAGGGGACACGGGTTCGTGCCCTGGTCCGGGAAGATCCCACATGCCGCGGAGCGGCTGGGCCCGTGAGCCATGGCTGCTGGGCCTGTGCTCCGCAACGGGAGAGGCCACAACAGTGAGAGGCCCGCATACTGCAAAAAAAAAAAAAGGGAGAAAAATATTCTAAAGAACTGGCATAGAGGCAAGAATGCAAAAGGGAGAAATTATGTACTAATCGCAGCTTCTTTGTTCCATTGGAAATATCCAACCACTAAGAGTATGATAATTACAAAGTATCACGCCTTATGTAACTTACCTTTTAGAACTGAAAGTTATTAGTCTATTTGATGGTGAACTTTTAGGTTCTGGAGATTAATAATATAGTTCCTGTAAATGAACTGACTGAAAACTAAGGGTAGGAAAAGCTGCAGCGGTCAGATCCTGATTGTTCTTGCACTTATCTCCTGCCGTCTGTTTGTAGCCTTTCCCTATCTTAGACATGGAAGCTTCAAGAAAGATTTTTCAGATTCAGAGGCTTTGACAGGGAGTGGAATTGGAAGGCCAGCTGTGGTCTCAACTGACATATTGATTTACATGCAGGAAGAATTTCATTTTAAAACTGCAGGCTCTGAACTAAGTTTCTTCTGTTGGGAATCAGGAATGCTTTTGGTTGCAAGGAACAAAAGTGACCACAAAGAACCTGCCATGGTTTGAAAAGGGAGGATGTATTTCCCTCCCGATGGCAAGCGTGGAGGGGCCAGTGCAGCGTCCTGGCTGTGTTAGGGCTGCCGGCTCTATGACCCAAACTGTGGCCCGTCTTCAGCTGTGCAGTTCATGATCAAGTCAGAAATAATAACCAAACCATGAGAGACCCACGGACCCAGGATCTTGCTTAGAGGTGAGGGAGGGAAGGACGACCCGTAGAAGAGCTCGTTTGACCATTTAGAATTTTCTTATTTAGCCAAGATTTTTACTTTATTTCTCACATTTAATTTTCCATCACCCCAAGTTAAAATGTTATTTGAAAATGATTATACATTTCAATACTACTGTGTTTTCTTTAACGTAGTGGAGCTGAGGAACTGTAACCCTCCGTCCTGTGCCCCTCGGCTGGGAATTAAAGTGATAGGGTTCCCCCATCACCCCCCTCACCTGCCCCAGCTCCTCACACCCTGTTCTGTTTGACACGATTCCAAGGAATCGCTGGGGTTTAGGTTCTGGTTTTGTTGTCTACAATAACCTTCTTACCTTTACAAGTAATACATTTTCATTCAGGACACTTGAAATAGAAGCAAAAAGCAAACTGGGCGCCAGTGCTGAAACCATCACTGTCCTTCATGTACATAGTGGATGAATGTAAATGCCTGCTTACAGACGTCTCTTTAAAAATAAAAAGCGGCTGTGTAATTTCTAAAACTGAGATAGAATTCAACTTGCTTGCCACCTACCCTTTTCCCTCAGAAGCCAAGGTCCTGCCCTGACGTCCTGCCTCACGCTTTAACTCGGGAGCTCGGGGCGGCCCGTGCCCCTCCACTCACAGGGCCTCACCTTCATCTCTGCCTTCCCCCTCAGACCTACTGGTTTAAAGATGGGAAGCAGATCTCTCCCAAGAACGATCACTACAGCATCCGGAGCGACCCTGACGGGACCTGCTCTCTGCATACCGCGGCCTCCACCCTGGACGATGACGGGAATTACACGATCATGGCTTCGAGCCCTCAGGTGGGGATGCGCGGTGGCCTTGGGCCTGTGCCCAGGGTGGTGGGGTTTCCCGGGCAGAGGAGCTGCTGCTTGGCTAACGGGGAGTCATGCCTCTTTGACTTGAAACTGTTTTCCCAGTTCTCCATCCAGCGTGTTTTCCCAGGATAGAAACATTCTTTCTTAATATTTATCTGTTCCGTGAGATGTTTGTCTACATGAATAATTCCGGTGCAGATGTGCATTCTTTGCATAAATATTATTGAGAGCCTGATATGTACACCTGTCATGTGGGTGATGGAGCTGCAGTGCTTCAGGGGATGAGGTCCCGAGACAGAAGATAAGCCAGTAAACAAATGCATAAACCATGTGATTGCAGGTAGGGTTATGTTCTCAGGAGAAAGGAGAGTGAGGGGTATGGATAAGCTGTGGTAGGAAAACGCAGGAAGGAAAATGTTTAGAAGAAATACGCACACACCTAATTCAGTGGAATTTAAGTAATGTGTAAGTGTGGACAAATTATAATTTCGATAGAGCATACATCCAGCATTCAGGGTTTTTGTTTGTTTACACCCAGATGTTGTGTAGTTGCCCTTAGATTTAGGGTCCAAAAATCGGTTGACTACTTAGAATTTAACAGACAGCTACTGGGTACCATGTTCCCAATTCAAGCCTGCAAATTCTTTTTTATTGAATATCTTGTATATTTTAGGTGCTATACTGGGTACACAGAAATATGTAAGAAGTGATTTTGTGCCTTACAAGCTCAACCTCTGACTGGGTGTTTTATGAAGTCTGCAGAAATCATGTAAATGATGCACTTTTAAAAAAAATTTTTATTTTATATTAGACGATAGTTGATTTACAACGTTGTGTTAGTTTCCGTTGTACAGCAAAGTGATTCACTTACACATATATATATATTCTTTTTCAAATTCTTTTCCCAGTTTGGTAAAAAACACTCTTTTTTAAAAAAGAAAGCTAAAGTTAACAGTTTTATTATGTAACTGATGAAGATTGCCCAGAACTTATCTTTTTAAAAAATCTCTGATCTATTTATATCATGCCCTATTTCATTATTTCTTTTGAAGAAAATATTAAGTGTTAGAAAATGAAGAAAACGATACAAACAATTTTAGCAAAGCGTACAGACTTCTGAAAGTTTGTACAGTGTTATACTGTCCTCGGGTTACATTGTCATGTAAAGATACATTTCTGCAGTGATGGTAAGAGTGAAACTGAAATTGCCCACAAATCAGGCTGTGATCCAGGACAGCCGACTCTGCACTGACAAGAAAGTTTCCAAGTTAACGCCTTCTTGAGTTTCTAACTTTTCAATCAACGAACACATGACCATCCCTTTGAAAAAGTCAGAATCACAACCTTTACTAATAAGTTACATTTTAATGCTTATTTGTGTTCATGTTGTTTGTATTTGAGGGAACGAAAGTGGAACTTTCTCTTTTTTTAATTATATTTTTAGTATGTTTCCTTGACTACTTTTTTTTTAATTGCATCTTTATTGCACTTTGTAGATATTGCGTTTCTTACAAATTGAAGTTTTGTGGCAACCCTGTGTTGAGTAAGTCTATCACTGCTGTTTTTCTAACAGCATTTGCTCACTTTACATGTCTGTGTTACATTTTGTAATTCTTGTTATATTTCAAACTTTTTAATTATTATTACATTTGTTATGGTGGTCTGTGATCTTTGATGTTACTACTACAACTCTATTAACCAATTTCGATTTTCAGTTTTCTGCCTCTTAAAAAAGTAGTGGAGTGCTCAACAAAATCCAGAATTTTTCTTCGCCCTGGGTTCTTTATTTCTCTTGTGCCCTGGAAAGGCTAGGGTGGGTTATGGAGCTAGAAAATTCACTGTGTTCCTTATGTGCTCACCATTCCTGGGGTCCCGCTGTCCACCTCAAGGCGTTTTTCCTAGTGAATGTTTTGAACTGTTACTGGAGTGAGCAGTTTTATAGATAGAACAAGAGAAATGTCACACTGCAGTTTTGAGTCTGCTTCTAGTCTCTTCAGGTGACGTAGCTTTCCATGTGGGGAAGTTCTAACGGGAAGGACCAGGCAGGTGGCAGCGGGCAGGCGGCTGGGCTCCAGGGTGGCGGTCTCTGCATGGTTATTAAACCCCTGACCAACCAGGTGAAGGAGGGCTGAAGATGCCCGTTCAACATGGAAAAGGAGGAGCGGCAAAGTCAGAAGACGGAAGTGACGCAACGAAGACCAGGAGTGGAGACGTAGAGACAATTCGGAAGAGTCGGGGGTGCAGGTCGGGGTGCAGAGCCAGCACCCGGCACCGGGCAGGTCTGAGTTGGGTTCTGGCCGCGTGGCCTTTAGCAAGTCCTGAACCTCTGCGCCCGCTTCCTCGTCCATGAAGTGAGAAAAATAATACGAATTTAAACGATGCATGTAGAGTGCTTCGTTTACCTGGCATGTGACGGGCTTCCAGTAAGCGCAGGTTGTTGCCACTGTTTAAGTTCGAGGACGCTCGTCCCCCTTCTCGGAGCAGCACCCTGAGCTGGCAGGGGCCGTGGAGCCCGGCTGTGTCCCTCCCTCAGCGCCGTGAGTCCAGAAGTCAGTGCGGGCTGGAATCTCTCCCCAGCGCGGTGCTGGCGCGGGCACTTCCAGCCTCCACCCTGGGAGAGGCGTTCCCGGCAGGGGCGGCTCGGTTGCGACTGCGCGGCCGGTGCCCTGGGAGGAGGGCTCAGCTGCAGAGCCCACGTGCACAGCTGGGCTGGCGGGAGCCACGCCGCGGCCGGGAGGAGACCCCCCACGGCAGGGCGCTGCCCTCGTGCCGGGCCGTGCGCTCCGCTGCTTCACCGGAGCCCTGGCCACGCCCCCCGTGGCTCGCCCTGCCTGGTTCTTCGCCCTTTGCCTTTCGGAGGCGAGACAGAGAAATGAGCAGTGGCCGTTTACCTCAGCTCACCAGAAGCCCGGCTCTTCTAGCAGACTCGCCCGTCCTGTCTGTGAGTCAAGCAGGCAGCGGTGTGGCCGCCCTGGGTCCCAGAGCCCTCGAGGCCCCGGGACAGGGCAGGTCCTGATGCCAGAATCCCGCTGGCTCTCGAGGTCGGGCCCCCGAGGAGCCTCATTAACCGGGTGCGTTCTCGTAACTAGGCGTCTCCTTTCCTACTGAAATGACCGAAAGGCAGGCGTCTGAGGCGAGGCTCCTGAGGGGAATCTGAGGACATGCTAAGTGCGGGCGCTGGGCCTCAGCCTGACACGGTTGTGAGTCTTGGTGTTTAGGGTACTTGGCAGTCGCTCTTGCAAGTTTCTGAGTGAGTCGCCTGGTTGATGTCCGCGCGGGGGTGAGGCTCCTCCTCCGGCCGGCTCTTCGGTAGCAGGTGTGTCCACACCTGCCAGGTGTGGGTTTTGTGAGTCATCACCGAGAAACTGGAGTGAACTTCCTGCCCACTTAGGAAAACGAAGTGGCGTTTCAGCCCTGACGAGCCGCGCCCTGTTGCTCTCCCTGCTCCGTGCTGCAGGCTGTCGCTTGCTGCCGTAGGAACACGGTGACAGAAGTGCTTCACGCTCCGTAGTCTCAACTTCAGAAGCAGCTGCCATGGTATATAGTAAAGGACTTCGCCATTCTCGTAATTTGTGAATGAAAACACGGTTTAAAAGAAGCATGATGTAAATAGGCACTGAAAATAAATCTCAAAAGTAAAAGCTAAGCTTTTCAAAATACGTTAGTCCCAGAAGCATAGCGTGGGGTCCGCTGACCTGGGCTCCCTGCTTCCTTGATGCCCTTTGATACCTTCGTTTTTTTCCACGTTATGGAAGGACTTGGGTTTGGGAGGGAGACAACTCCATCTCTTTTCTGGTGCACCGTGGCCTCCACGATGTGAAGTGACAGAGGGAAAGAGGAAAAGGCTGATGGAAAAATGAGTTCGGTGATGAAACACGGACGGCCGAGCTCTCCAGAGCAGCGGAAGATAATTCCCGAGAGCCAACAGAAGGGGTGAGAAGCAAGGAAAGAGGAAAACACGGTCAGCAGGTTAGTTTATAGAATAATTTTCCACCTGGGTCAGTCCTCAGGGCATAAGGAACACGTTAGATGTTGTTGATGGTGTGCAGTTTCCACCTGGGACAGAACACACTGCTCTGGGCAAGCACTGGCCGTGGAGCATCCTCAGCCCGGCAGCTCCCGGGAGATGGTCGCGCAGTTGAGCGGGACCATAAGGGCCTGTGACGCGTTACAGCAGGCGGCCGCGGAACCGAGGGCCACAGGCTCCGCCTACGTCCGACTCTAATCCCATCCTGAAGACACGGCGGCGGAATGGAAACACAAATGTTTGACTTTGTTTTGCTGGTTGCTAGGTTCCCCCGTCCTGCTCTCTGGTTTGGAATGGCTGTCGTGCACTGTTGGCTGCGTCCTCCAATGGCATTGTGTGTGCGAGCGGCGGGCTTCCCTGAGACCTGCGGGCCGCAAGTTAGATTTCATAAACCGAGAAATGCAGATGTTTTGTCCGTAGCACATAAATCACTGGCCTTGCAGGAGGCCTCAGGTGCGCATTACAAGCTGGATGGTTAACAGAGAACCACCTTAAGAATTCAAACGCGTGGTTTGCGCTGTAGCTTTAAACACTGAGGACTTGTCTGGAATAGAAAAGCAGTGAGCAGCTGAGTTCAATTTAAAAGGCTGGTTTGTTGGTTGTGTGTGTTTCAACGTCATAAGGTTTTCTGGCACCTTCCAAGCTTCCCTTCAGACATTCACTTCCGTTATTCCTTCATGTGTTAATGATAAAGCGAAATGAAACGAGACAGTTGAAAGCGAACAGACAGCGTTAATGTACCCCTGAGCCTGCAGTGACGGCAGTTTTACTGGGTTAACTGGCACGTTTGTAGGATTAAAATCACCGAATGCTCATTTTGGATGACCTTCCTCAGAAAACATTCAGACTTAAAAATCTCAGCTTCCTATCGTGCGCTTTGGAGGCGTCTTTTCAAAAATGCTTCCCTGGGTTCTGGACTGAAAATGTCAGAATTATACCACTCGCTACTTTGGTTGCTTTCTAAGTAGTCCTGTTCACTTGTTAGTAATATATTTCGCCAGTATCAGTATATTATCAAACTCACAGGTCTGCCTCCTGAATTCCAGGCCCTTTCCCCTTTCTGTTCCAAAGTGGAGGATGGTGTGGGAATAAGAAGGTGATAAATGACAACATATGCCGTTTTCTTAAGTTCGGGAAGTTAAGGAAGATTCTGGGGCAGTATTTGTAGGGTTCTGAGCAATCGCAGTAAAAATCTTGACAGCGTGCTAGAAATGTGTGCTCTTCACGGAGCAGCGTGCCAACCTGTCACCGTGTGTTTGGGAGCGGGGAAAGGAGACAAAGTGCATCCCAGGCACAGGCAGTGCTCAGGGTTGGGCAGGACCCCTTTCCTCCTGGGCCTCGGACGCAGACGTCAGACACCTGGGAGGTACCTGTGTGCGTGGCGCCCTGCAAGCACCGGCGTGAGGTGGGGAAAGGTTGGTCTGCTCTCCACAGTCTCCCTCCTACGCTTGGAGTACTTGGTTTTTCCTCTGGAGTTAACTGCATCCTAATACCAAAAAAAGAGAGAGAGGAAAGAGAGGAAGGAAAAGGAAAGAAGGAAGGGAGGGTGGGTGGAAGGAGGAAGGAAACTCCATTCATATGGAAAAAAATGGTGTTGAACGAAGCAGTTCCTATCCATCTGGTGGTTATTATAGTTACATCTGTATCCAGTGCTATAAAAATGTAACATTTTGAGCGTTTAGCATGTGCCAGACACACCACCAAGTACTTGACCCCTGTTAACTCGTTCAGTCATCGTAAGAGCCCCTCCCTGCAGGATGACCAGCAGGGTCCTGTTCCACAGGTGAGGACCCTCATCTGGGGTATGTCGCCTGCCTCGTCTTTCCACTGTAAGGGACAGAGCTGGTTACAAACCCAGGGCGAAGGAGCCACGGGCAGGCATCTGGGGCTTATCCCAGCACTGAGAGCCCTGAGGGGCGGGGGGGGCACTGGTTAAAAGAGGCCTCTGAAGGAACCAAACAGGTAAGAGCATCATACCGCGAGCAAAATACGTCTACTTGGAAAATTTCACTGGAGTCAGACAAGCTGCTGGGCCCATAAAAACCACCTTAATGTGCACACCTGATGTCACAGACCCAGAGAAACACAGCACCAGCAGCGGTGGCGGCGGAGTTAGCAGTGATGATGACATCAAGTACGTTTACTACTAACAAGATCATCATGGATTGTATCACTTAATCTTTGCAGCACCCTTGTGAGGTATAGTGCCCCACCTTTTACAAAAGAAGAAATGTAGGCTTGAACAAATTTAGGATTTGCCCAAAGCTTTAGGAAAAAAGTCAACTCAAATCCAGGTTAGAGGAATTTTTTTTTTTTAGCACCATTATCTGCTTCCCCAAATTCAAGGTTAAAGGTTGAATTTAACTTTTATCTTTAACTACATACATCATTAGTTAATACTCACTTCCTTGGTGGATCCTCTGGGCTTTATACCACAAGGAAGAATCCACCCAAATCACGTAACTCTTTTAATCTCTCCAAATTAAAATTATTTGTCGAAGCAGCGAAGCAGATAGTAAGGAAACCATAACATCAGTTCAATGGAAGCTATTTGTGTGAAAACAAAACATACAATCCCTTGTCCTCAAGCTCCAAAAGGAATCATGGGTCTTCTGTGTCCCAGCCGTGATGACACATCAGTTGTGTAATTTATAACGGGCTCTTCTAAGCAAGTTATATCTAGATTTTCTGTAGCAAGTACAGACTGGGAGGGGTTCGATGGAATTGGTGTACAGATTTCAAGCTACTTTAGGGAATCCCAAGTGTTTGTAAGATCAGCGTGAGAGAATTCATATCGTGTGGCCTGAACTTCAGATACAGTTGATCTAAGTTGGAGATAACTCCCCTCATAAAGTTATATACTTCATTATACTTGGACATTTTCGGGAAAGGCAGCGCTTGTGGCCTCAATGGAGGAAGGTGCGTGTCCCGTGGTACAAGACCGCTTGAGTTTGTGTGTTTACAACAGCTCCTGGGTCCTTCCTAACCCTTCCGTCCGCACCAGTACTGTGTCTTTGCCTTTCCTGGTCACTATGGCCTGAAGAGGTCCAGGCTTTGGGGAGACCCCGAGGGCCCCTCCCTCCAGCCTGCCGTGGGGTCCCCCTCCGTGTCCCCGCCAGCGTCCTCTCAAGGGGGGACTCAGAAGGCGGTTCAGGACCCACAGAACCCCTCTGCTTTGGTCACCTGTTTGGCCACCTGCAGTGACAGTGGGGGTCAGGGGTCAACTTTACTTTGACTCTAAGCGCTCCCTTCAGCCTGGAGCTATAGAACTCACCAAGGACGAGGGTGAAAAATCAGTCTGCGTCTCATGTTCCTGCCCTGCGTACTCCCTCTCGGTCATCGTCAGGGTTTAGGTGTCCTCCTGCTCGTCCTCCGGGGCCCTGCAAGGAGCGAGCGGAGGAGACCATCTGCTTTGCTGCTCTGCTGGACGTAGGGAGAGATAAGTCCAGACCAGAAGACGAAGTGGCAGGGCATTGATTCCTGTCGCCCGGCCCCCCTAAGTGTTGCTGTGTGTCCCCAGACAGCACTTATCCGATTCCCAGTTGACAAATTTGAGGGAGAAGACAGCGCGTGTAGCCAGATGTTATCATAACTTTATATGGGGTAAATCTATAAAACTATTGACTGTGTTTTACACCTGAAACTAATATAATATTGTTAAGTGAACTACACTTCCGACAAGATCAGGTGTGTTCAGGGTGGGGCGGCTGTAGACTTTATACTTCAAATGAAAATTTTTTTTTAAAGATTATAAAGTACAGCTTTTCATTATTAGAATAGGACCTTATCATGTGACCCTCATGGGTTCAGGCATTAACTGCTTCTGGTTTTAAAAGCTCAAATATTGTCACTTTATGGGGACAGGGTGTCCCATAGTCGTCATGCTCCTTGTCGCCCCAGGCATGCTTGTTACATAACGCTTATTTTTTCATGCCGGCCGCCCTTTCAATGTGCGGTTTTGGGAAGGGATACCACGAACATTTAATAACTAAAAAGACTGAAATGATCTGGTTTGATTTCAGAGTTAGCTCCACGCAGTAGGTATGTAGCCTTGAAAGTGGCATCATCACAAGACGTCCCGGGGGGCGTGTTTCAGAGACAGGCTGGGGTCGCGCTGGTGCGGCGCGCTGGTCTGCGGGGAAGAGCGCCCTGTGGAGACCAGGGCAGCCGTGGCGGTGACGGGGGCGGTGCTGGGGCGCTGGCCGCTAACCGTCGGTCCCCTCTGTCCCCGCAGGGCCGCGTCAGCTGCACGGGACGGCTGATGGTGCAGGCCGTGAACCAGAGAGGCCGCAGCCCCCGCTCGCCCGCCGGCCAGCCTCACGGCAGAAGGTATCTCTCGCGTCCCTTCCCGGGCGCTGCTGCTCACTGTCACTATAACCCAGCGCTGCCAGCATCTCGGGGACACCACAGGAGAGAACGTACTTGGGGGACAGGATGGGGCCACAGCAGGAAGCGTGGTGGCGTGTGCCTCCTTTCTAGCTGGGGGCGGGGTGGAGGACGTCCCGGCTGGGCCTGGCGCCCTCCGACACGTGCCGCGTGTGGGCGGGCGGCAGCCACGTCACCATGGACACGCTGGTCGGTGGCACCCAGGGTCTAGCCACGCTTTCGTCACCAGCATCACGTGGGCTGCCCCCTGGGTTTCCTAAGATCGGCTCGTGTGCGAAGGTTCCTTGTCCGGTCGCTTAGGTCACAAGCTTGTCTCAGATCCTAGCCTCGTAGGTCAGACTTGCCCCGTGGCCCCGAGCGAGTGCACGTGAGGATGGGCAGCGGGGCTGTGGTTCTCAGTGACACACGTGGCTAGAGATGGGGCCGGTGACTGGGCCATCCGGCCCCTGGGCCTAGCACAGGGGAGGACGTGCCAGTGAGGCCACCGGAGGAGCAGGACACGGCAAGGAGCAGCGGGCGGGCTCACGCCCCACGCGGGCTTGTGCCGGCGTTTGGGAGGCAGCTCCGGCCTCAGCACTCGCAGGTTTGACGCAGGCTTCTTGGGGCGGGACTTGGCGCACAGCATCACCGGCCCCCGCGCCTGTGAGCACAGCACAGCTGCAGCAGGTCCGTTCTCTCCGGCTTCACTCGGGGCCTTCCGTGCATTTCAGCCGTTTGTGGGCCACTGACTCCTGAAAGGGCATTGTGCTCGTAAATGAGACCTGGTGGGTGAAGGCTGGTGATTACTAGCGTATTATACTAATTTCTCATTTGCTTTGCTCCTACTTTTGCTACTGAAGTGTTTCTTAACTTACCTCCCAATGATCTCCGTCAGGGTTAGTTTCAACAGCTCACTCCTAAGTCTTCCCTGCAGTCACTTTAAATCATACTGCTCTTAAAGGCGGCTCTGACAGCATCCTCAAAACCAAGAAAGGTGCACAGAATCTCGAGATGTGCACAATTTTATGTTAAAGCAAAAAAAAGGAATAAGAATTACTGCTTTAGGCATATGGTTAATGGATACAGAAGAAAACCTGCCTAAAATGTGATTTGTTTTCCTGGTTAATATGAAAAGAAATTTTTATTAGAATGATATTCATGCTTTTTAAATAATAAGAACTTTTAATTTCCTGCAAGTTTATAATCACAGTGGAAGCTGTCCTGATTTCTGTTGAAAAATATTTGGTAATAAATGAGCAACAGCTGCTGCTGCTTCTCATACAGCTTTAAAAATATTTATTCAGGAAAAAATAGGTTACTGTTAGTTCCCCATTTTCCCCTTTCACGATTTATGCTAGCTGTAAGGGTTAGGATAGCAGATGATTTGAAGTCTGCAATTAGCAGATTATTAAATGTATAATAAACTTCCAAACGAAACAAGATTTTGTTTTACTGACTTTCTTTATGGTATGAACCCTGGGATTAGGAGCTAGGTAAGCAGGTAAGGAAATTATATTATTGCCCCATGTATTATAGAGAAGAGATAACTAAGAACCTGACAATACCTACTGTCTATTTATATTACCTATCATTTATGTGTCGTTCTTCCTCCTCCTCCCCCCTTTCTTTCCATCTGTCTGTATTTATCTGTGTGTCATTCTCCCTCCCTCTTTCTCTGCCCCCATCTTTCTTTCCATCTATTTAACTATATTTGTGGCATTCTCCCTCCCCTCCCACATCTTTCCCTCTGGGTGTATCTGTGTGGCATTCTCCCTCCCTCTCTCTCTGCCCCCATCTTTCTTTCCATCTATCTATATTGTCTATCTTTGTGGCGTTCTCCCTCCCCTCCCCCATCTTTCTTTCCATCTGTTGGTTTTCTCTCTCGTCCGAAGGTCTCGTTCGAGATCCAGGGACAGTGCCGACGAAGGTGAACCGATTCAGGAACGATTCTTCCGACCGCACTTCCTGCAGGCTCCCGGGGACCTGACGGTCCAGGAGGGCAGGCTCTGCAGGATGGACTGTAAGGTGAGGGGCTTGGGTGCCTCCCTTCTCCCTGCAATACCACTTCCCTTTAGTTCCTTTTGGGGAAATTATGTAAAGTATACATCTTTAAAATGTTTCCTAGCAGAAGAGGAGAGAAAATGAGTGGAACATACTAATATTTATATACATTTCAAATCATTCTTTTCCTTGATTTTTAAGTTTTTGTTGAATATGTCCTTTACCTAGAACCCTGTGTACCATACTCCAGAAAGTGAACTGGGAGGTTTTATCCCTCAGAGTCGCCCTTTTTGTTGAAGTAATGACTGTGTTGGATCTGTTCTCTATCCTGATCTTACTTATATTTACTCTGTTTTCATACACATTTCATTCCGTCGACAGTAGGGCTTCTTAACCAGGTCCTGGGGTGAGCAGGTCTCATCAGGTGTGTGGGCCTGAAATTACACAGGAGGTTGTATGTGGTACACCTGCCATCAGCTTCCCAGAGGACCTCGAGGCCAAAAATGTGTAGGAATCACTGGTCTGAAATTTTTTGATTGTTTTGTATTTTTGCCCCATTATTTATTGATCTTAAATTTAAATTTTAGCTCTGAAATACGAATACGCTTTTAAAAAAGTAATTTGGGCTCTCTCTGCTGGTTGTCTCTGGAATTGCAGAACACAAGATGTAAGGCACTTAGAGGGTTAACTCTGGGCTTGTAGAAATGTATAAAAAGCTTGTAGAAATGTATTTAAAATGTATAAAATACTTTCCAGCATAATTTTTCAATATAAATTTATTTTTTGGCTGCGTTGGGTTTTCGTTGCTGTGCATGGGCTTCTCATTGCGGTGGCTTCTCATTTTGGAGCACAGGCCCTAGGCGTGTGGGCTCAGTAGTTGTGGTACGTGGGCTCAGTAGTTGTGGCTCGCGGGCTCTGGAGCGCAGGCTCGTAGTGGCGCACGGGCTTAGTTGCTTCGTGTCATGTGAGATCTTCCCAGACTAGGGATCAAACCGGTGTCCCCTGCATGGGCAGGTGGGTTCTTAACTACCGCACCACCAGGGAAGTCCCTCCAGCGTAATTTTTTTAATTTTTATTTTATATTGAACTATAGTTGATTAACAGTGTTGTGTTAGTTTCAGGTGCACAGCAAAGTGATTCAGTTATGCATATGCATGTATCTATTCTTTTTCCAAGTTCTTTTCCCATTTAGGTTATTACAGAATGTTGAGCAGAGTTCCCTGTGCTCAATACAGTAGGTCCTTGTTGGTTATCTGTTTCGTAAATAGTAGTGTGTACATGTCAGTCCCAGTCTCCCAATTCATCCCTCCGCCTCCACCCTTCCCCCCCGGTAACCATAAGTTCGTTCTCTAAGTCTGTGAGTGTGTTTTGTAAATTAGTTCATTTGTATCAGTTTTTAGATTCCACATATGGTCTTTCTCTGACTTACGTCACTCAGTATGATCATCTCCAGGTCCATCCATGTTGCTGCAAATGGCATTATTTCATTCTTTTTTATGGCTGAGTAATATTCCATTGTATATATGTGCCACATCTTCTTTATCTATTTATCTGTTAAGGGACACTTAGGTTGTTTCCATGTCCTGGCTATTGTAAATAGAGCTGCAGTGAACATTGTGGTACATGACTCTTTTTGAGTTATGGTTTTCTCAGGGTATATGCCCAGTAGTGGGATTGCTGGGTCGTATGGTAGTTCTATTTTTAGTTTTTTAAGGAACCTCCATACTGTTCTCCATAGTGGCTGTATCAGTTTACATTCCCACCAACAGAGCAGGAGGGTTCCCTTTTCTCCACACCCTCTCCACCATTTATTGTTTGTAAACTTTTTGATGATGGCCATTCTGACTGGTGTGAGGTGATACATCACTGTAGTTTTGATGTGCATTTCCCTAATAATCAGCAGTGTTGAGCATCTTTTCATGTGCCTGTGTATGTCTCCTTTGGAAAAATGTCTGTTTAGGGCTTTGGCCCATTTTTTAATTGGGTTGTTGTTTGATGTTTGTTTTTTGTTTTTTTTGTTATTGAGCCACGTGAGCTCCTTGTACATTTTGGAGGTTAATTCCTTGTCAGCTGCAGTGTTTGCAACATAATTCTTTTTACAGTATAAGTATACAGATTGAGTTTATATATATACAGTGTGTATATATTTACATGTGTGTATTTATTTGGGGTCTGTAACTGAGAATTCATACAGACCACCCGTAAAATGACATTTGAGTCCACAGGGGAAATTTTCTTTTAGAAAATTAGATGATGCCAAGGGATTACTATTAATTTTAATTTTATGTATAAAAAGGGAACTGTGACTGTAAGAAAAATCTGTTCTTTTAGAATGATACTTCATAAAGTATCAAGTATAAAGTTTGGGGTCTATTTTTAAAATATGAAAAATTACAGAAGAGAGTGAATCTAGGTGATGGCTACATGGAGATTCACAATACTGTCGGCTCTACTTTTGATCACATTTAAGAAAGAAATCATAACACTTTATTTTTCTGCGAGTGACACAGCTGTCCTTGAAATGCCTGCCTTTAAGAGAATATTGGAAACAAAAGGTAATCTGTTGATTTTACTGTTATGATCAGACCTGGACTAATGTGGAAAATCTTTTCCAGTGTATTTATCCTTTAAGAGGGAAAGAAGAATCATGGGAACAGGCCAGTCGCTACTGGGCTGCTGGGCCCCCGACTCACTCCCCGGACACTGACTGCCCCGGCCGGCTCTCAGCCTCCGGGAGTAAACGCCTCTGCTTCCCCCCGTTCCCACGGCAGCCAGAGCCGCCCACCTGTCCAGGCTGGGGCCCGCTTACAGTGACCCAGTTCCTGAGGTCAGGCTCGCCTTGCTGGCCTCAGAGGGAGAGGACTCGGCCTTCCCCTCTGCCCGGCCATGCAGCTCTGGCCCAGGTGGGCCCAGAGTGCGTGCGGCGTCTCCCTCCTAAACCTGCTGCGGCCTCGCCGGTACCTGACCAGCCAGGAGGGCCAGGTGTGCAGCCCCGGGCGGGAAAGCCCACCCCCTTCCTCCGTGCACCTGTGCTGGCCCGACAGGTAGAGCGGGCGTGGAGCGCCGGGGCGGCAGGTGGACGGATGGGAGGCTGCAGAGCCTGGCCCGCTTTTAGCCAGTGATTTAATTGTTTTGTGTAAATCCCTGGGCCTTTGCTGTGTGTGTCTGTTGCGGGGTGAGGCATCCTGGGGGCAGTATACGTGAGCGTCACACAGCATGAGTGCAGTTTGTGAGTTCTCTGGCGGATTTTGGCAGAGCTGATTCTCAAAAGAATTGGTTTACGGTCCCACTGACGTCTTTCCGTATGTGATTTCCCACTGGTGCATTTGGGGTAGGGGTGAAAGGGCTTCCTTACTGGTGCTTTTCTTCCCGTTCAGAATGCAGAGCCCTAGAGTGAAGAGCTGACAGACGGTGGCCACCCCTCCCCTCACTGCACACCATGCTGTTAGCCGTTAAACGTGCTTTTGTCTGATCTCTGGTCAGCAGGACTGTCGTGGTCTGGAGAGTGGTGGTTTTTTTTAACGTTTCCGTTGTGAGGCTAATTTGTTGAGATGCTTTCTGGGTAATTTCGTATGTCTCCTATTACTTTCAAGGATTATAAAATAATAACAGCCCTGTGTCTTAATGGCTGCATTAACTAACGTCTCCGCAGCTACAGCAGCCTTGATGAGAGGCTTTGTCGTGAGCCGTGCGAGCTGAGTGTGAGTCCTTGTCATGGTTGGAAGGGCTCAGAGCCCTGGGCTGACATCACCCTCAGCATCTATAACCTGGGTGAGGAAAGACGATGGCGAACGTTTTTAGTCCCCATCTCACTTTTCTCTGGGTTGCTCTATAAGAAATGTTCAGAAGTGAGCCCGTGTGTGCCGAGACGCTATTCAAAGATTTTAAGCAAAAGAGAAATGTGGGCTTCCCTGGTGGTGGTGCAGTGGTTAGGAATCCGCCCACCAATGCAGGGGACACGGGTTCGAGCCCTGGTCCGGGAAGATCCCACATGCCACGGAGCAACTAAGCCCGTGCACCACAACTACTGAGCCTGTGCTCTAGAGCCCACGAGCCACAACTACTGAGCCCACGTGCCACAACTACTGAAGCCCATGCGCCTAGAGCCCGTGCTCCGCAACAAGAGAAGCCCGCGCACTGCAACAAAGACCCAACGCAGGCAAAAATAAATAAATAAGTGAGTAAGAAACGTGACCTGATGCTAAGAGCCTCATGTTGTCCTGAAGGAGGAGTCTGTGCCGGTGTCTTAGGTGTTCGTGACTTCGCTGTTTCCGTAGCAGAGGAATTCATTCGCATTTCTTCCCGGTTTAGGTCAGTGGGCTGCCAACCCCCGATCTCAGCTGGCTGCTGGACGGCAAGCCCATCCGCCAGGACAGCACCCACAAGATGCTGGTGCGAGAGAACGGGGTGCACTCTCTGATCATCGAGCCCGTCACGGCCCGGGACGCCGGTGTCTACACGTGCATGGCCACCAACCGGGCTGGACACAACTCCTTCAGCCTGGAACTCGTGGTCGCAGGTAAGTCCCGGGAACCTCTCCCAGGGTGAGCGTCAGATGTAGAAACAAACTAACCCATGTGGAAAGTACATCAAATCGCTGAAAAAAATAGACCATTATCATCAACGTGTTAAGACCTGGCAAGTCAGAAACATCACTTTTTCTTCGCTGTAGCCATGGTTATTTTTCTTCCCTTCCCCCGTCAGCCTGGCAGCCAGAGAAGAGGGTTTGAGCAGTTTTTCTGGGCCATTCCCCTTCTCCTGGGCCCCCAGTGTCACACGGGAAAGGCAGCGGCAGCCTGGCCTCCAGGAACCAGACGATGTGGGAGAATGTGCTCGTGCAGCAAGTTCTCCACGTAGACCTAGCTTTTGAAGTCATGTGCAGTGATTTCAGAATTCAAAACTGAAATGCTGTGATCTACCCCCCATGTCACAGACAGATTAAACTCAGGTTTGCTTTTTAATTGACTATATATCTTTACGAAATTTACCTACCAGAATAAAGTTTTACCCTTAGGTATGGGAAATGAGTTTATGGGAAGGTCTAGTGTCCTAGGAGCTGAGCATGAATAGAGAGCCTGTTCTCTGTGCTCATCTGAAAAAAGCAGAACGGAGCGTTTATTTCTCACCACTGCATGCAAAGCGCTCACTTGGTTCCTCACGGCAGCCCCATGAGGCAGTCAGCCAGTGGGAATTAGGAGAGAGGAAGTGACTTTCCTAGGGGCCAGGCTGCGGTGCCCCTCTGGTGCCAGGAGCCTTCGAGCTCCTGGGGGAGACAGCAGCAGCGAGGACGCAGCGGGCGGCCCGGCTACAGTCCGGGCTAGGGATTTTCGTGACAACAAACACCCAGACGTGTTCGCACAAAAACATGGGCAGCGTGCAGCCTGTGTGTCAGACCCGCTTCAGTTTCACTCCTTCCTCCAGCCCGCCCTCCTCAAAACTCAACTGTTGGGGTCCCCCCGCCGACCGTACCTGTCCCCACGCCCGAGGTGTCCCCGTCGGCACTTCCGGAGGAAGTCGGGGCTCGGCTCCCAGCCCAGCTCTCGTTTTCTGGCTGTGTCCTCTGGCAGGTCCGTCTCTGCAGCTGAGTGTCCCCAAACGGAAAAGGGGGCCATGATGCTCAGAGTTGAAGGACTAAGTCGTGGCACAAGGACGAAATCCTGTGAAGCTCTGCGTCCCCATGGGCCTGCCTAGCCAAGCTCCAGAGGTAGCTGTGATGCCTACTGTGGAGGGTCGCTGCGACCTAAAGGCCCGTCTTACACATTTATGCTCTTTTGAAAACTGGGACCCAGGAAGAGCACCGAGTGAGGTCTCTTCCCAGAGTAGCCCAGGTCAAGTAACCACAAAAGGTCCAATAAAAATTAACCCTCTACATAATTCGAGGTCATAGAGGGCCTTAGGTTTTTAAAACTTTCAGGTAGAACGTTCACCTTTGCTTTGCTATTATTTGTCACAGAGGAGGGAGTGCAGAAGGCCGCACCGTCAGACTCATTGTTGGCAGCTAGGATGATGGTAGCTAAGGCTTCCTCTTCCTCTGGGACTGTTCCCACCGCAGATCCAAGGGAACACTGAGAGTGTTACTAACAGTTCTGATTTGTCCAGACTGGGTAATAGTCGTCGTTTTCATAGCTTTCTTCAAAGAAATACAAATTGGAACTTGTATAGAATGTACGTTCCTAGTGTTGAGGTAACTAGTTAAAGCTGCCTCTCCTCGTTTCCCCCTTTGTAGCCTGTGGTATGTCTCTCTTAAGCCAAGACCTAGAAATCTCAGAGTGTCTCGGCCAGCAGGGCGGGAATCTAGGGGATCAGCGCCGCTAGATGGCAGCGGTGGGCTGAGGCAGGGACCCTCATCAGTCACCAGCCTGACGGAGGTCCCCACCCCACCCCACCCCGAGAGCACGCAGGCAGGTGCGGGCCTGTCGGACTTGAACTGAGGAGAGAAAGGCGTGGAATGAAGGGTAGGAACGTCTCTTGGTGGAGGAGGGATAACTTGGAGAGAGGACAAGCATCCTGCCGCCTGAAGGGGAAAACGACGTCAGCAAAGTTGAGCGGGATTTCTGAAAGCACCTGCGTTCTTTTGTGGTACCTTTTGCGCCCGTCACGGGTAGGTAATCCGTCTCGTGTCTTTGCAGCTAAGGAAGCGCACAAGCCCCCCGTGTTCCTCGAGAAGCTGCAGAACACGGGGGTGGCGGACGGGTACCCGGTTCGGCTGGAATGCCGCGTGTCCGGGGTGCCGCCGCCGCAGATATTTTGGAAGAAGGAAAACGAGTCGCTCACTCACAGCACGGACCGCGTGAGGTGAGAGCCCACGGGGCCGCCCCCCACCCGCAGGGGTCCTGATGGTCCCAAAGGAAGGTGCACAGCACGCGCCTGTGTGCGCTGCCCCCGGGCCAGCCCCTGCCCCCCGCACGCCTGCGCTTTGCGGAGGCGGCTGCCCTGCTGTGTGGTGCAGCGGCTCCCCGCCTAACGCAGGCAGTGCCGGGGGGGGGGCGGGGCAGATGCTCCCCCTGGGAATTAAGTGCTCGGCTTCCTTCAGCCTCCCGGCCTCTCCGCTCTCTCATTAGCTGTCACGGACTGGCGGCGTCTGCAGAATTAGGAGGACCCTGTTATCCGCTGCTTGCACAGTTCTGTTTCTCATGAGCTAATGAGAAGCGATGCTTCGTGTCCTGAAACATTTCGAGCCCTATGGCCGTGTCTGTCTTTTGCAGCCTGCACCAGGACAGCTACGGCTACGTGTGTCTACTCATCCAGGGAGCCACCAAGGACGATGCTGGCTGGTACACGGTGTCGGCCAAGAACGAGGCGGGGATCGTGTCCTGCACGGCCCGGCTGGACGTCTACAGTGAGTACCCCTCCCCCTCGCCTCGATGCGTTATTGGTTCCTTCCGTTAGGACAAGGCGGGCGTCAGCACACCGAGTCACGTTACTCTGATCTGATCAACAACTCTAGCGCTTTATCTGCCAGAAATTTCACACTGCTCTTTCTCTTTCTATTTATAGTTTCTCAACATTAATAGTGAACCTCGCCAGAAGAACAGTGCCCAAGTATCACTCAGGAACTTTGCGTTTTTAGCAAAACGTGCATGTGGATTTCTCTGGCGTCGGCTACCCAGCTGTGGCTTTCTTACCCAGCACCCTTAGGGGTTAACACCAGGCAAAGGCATAAGCACAGACTTTTCACATTTTGTTACTGCCTTGTGCAAATGACTGCCTTTTAACATTTCTCCCTAAGCTACTATGATCCTGTCACAGCATCTTAATTCACGCTAAACGTGTGGCCCATTGAAGCTGGAATGTGTACTTTCGTGGCTCAGTGCTTTGTGTTAACATATCCTAAGCAGTTCAGCAGTAGGTTTGCGAGTGTGTGTGTGCGTGTATTTGTGTACATGCATCCCAGATTGAAAGAAAAAAGTTCTAAGTTTACAAACTAGCCCAGTAGCGTTATGTGATCTAATGACAAGAAAACCACTAGGAAAAATTCAGAACTGATTTCACACATAAGAAATGACTGACCTCAACCTTCCCTATCGCCTGCTTCCTTTCAAACAATTTGTGTTAGAACACCCATCCAGAATACCTGATGACTGTCATTACTGTGGCATTTATACATTTTGAGCTTTGAAGTTTTTTTTCAAAGTGAGAATCAGGAAGTGTAGCAGCCATTTCAAAGGACTCCCCGAGCTGCAGTGAGTACTGACTATCGAGATAAACTACACGCTGTCTCTGTTCCCGAGCTGCTGTAGTGCCTCCACCCTGTGTAGGCAGTAAATCTGCAACATGTGAGTAGACTGCAGAACCACCCGTACACGTTAGGACTTCTTAGGTCTTTTGCACAGAACACGTGCCTGGTACAGAGCCATGCCGCCTGGTTACAGGTTCTGAGTTCCGTGTTGTGTCTTGCAGCCCAGTGGCAGCAGCCACCGCCAAGCGCCAAGCCGAAGCGGGTGCGGCCCTCGGCCAGCCGCTACGCCGCGCTCTCGGACCAGGGACTCGACATCAGGGCCGCGTTCCAGCCCGAGGCCAGCCCGTCCCACCTGATGCTGAGCCCCGGCCTGGTGGAGAGCGAGGACCTGTGAGCTGGCGCTCTCCACGGAGCCCAGACGCTGAAACCACCGCTGCCTTGACCCACACCCTCCTCTGTCACAGGACGTAAAAGGCAGAAACATACCTTTGGCTCTAAGAAACAAAAGGACACCAAAATCCTACTTTTCTTCCTGGTAAACCAGACGTAGAGGCTGCGTACGCGATGCTGATTGATAGGAATGCACACCTTGCACGGAGAATTCACATTCATCAGCCAATTTAAAACTTTGGGAAGTGCTGCAAATCAGGGGGTCTGAAATGCCGAAGTGCTAACGGAAAAAAGGTGACCATGACCTGTGTTGTCCCGGGTGTCTTCCCTAGCGTAGGTGCTGCCACCCGGCGTGAGGTCGGGGGGCTCCCCGGAGGTGGCTGCACCACAGGGGACACCGCCTGGGCTCTGCGGGGCAGTGTGCTCACGCAGCCAGGGACCCACGTGGGGCATGGGACAAGGAGGGCGCCACCAGGAAGCCCAAGGAAACGCCCGTCCGCGAACGGCTTGCCACTAAACCGTGCGCAAGGAGCCACCTGCCTTCAGTTCTGTGAACATCAAGAGTTTTCTAACAAGGCCAAGACCTTCGTTCTTAACCTTTTTTTCTTTACGTGTAGTATTTTCTTTTCTCGTTACCTTGGTAGGGCGCTTACTTACAAACCATATTAAAAGAATGCGAAGTACTCTGAATAAAGAAGAAGCATATTGCAGTCCATTCCACGAAGGGCATCCCAGCCACCCAAGTGACCAAGGTGTGTAGTATCTGGAGGAGACGGGTCTGGAAGGGGCGGAGAGGAGAGGGAAAGGAAGCACGACCAGACAGACTGTGCTCACTTAGATGAAAGCAGCGGAGCACGAGATGGTAAAGGCCAGGCTTTTCTTTGGTTTTCTTCAAACTTACTTAACCTAAAATAGAAGCGACAAAACACCGCCATTCCCAAGTCAGGAACTCGAGGGTCAGCCGGAGGGAAGCTCGTGCTCGGGACACTGCAGTGTCGGAGCTGGTGCCGCAGCGGGAGATTGAGGTGCGCACTGCAAGTTGAATATGGGCTGAGCTGCGAGATTGTCATGGATCAGAGACAGCCTGTGGGCGCTAATCTACTTGGGGAGACAAAGACGGGGGTGCCGGCATGCATTTTCTCCGTGGCACCGCCATACGGTGGATGGAAACTATTCACTTCCCTGCTGCCACGAGACCTTTTGCCTTAAGAAGGTGCTGGGTTCCAAGTAGTTTGTAAAGGCATCTCGGCAAAGACTGCTTTCTGAATGCCTGTGATTCTGCATCAGCTAGATGGCGTGGATGGATTCTGACCAGACTTGACTTGACGGTTTTAAGTCAGAACAAATAAACTTTAAAAAGGAGAAAAAAAATTTGGGCTGATATTATAAAACCTGAGTCTTTAATGGTACTTTCCTATGAAGAGAACACACTGTATTCCTCATGCAAAACACATTTATCTTTCATTATTTATAATACAAATGTTGAACTCTTAGCTCAGTTACTCCATTCAATACGTAGTATTTTTTAAGTACTTTTGTATCTGTGTGCCACCGTGTATATCCCATTGCACTGCTTCACATGGACAGCTTTCTACTTCCTTGTAAGAGCACCAACCAAGCGAGCTTTAAATGCCAGGCCGGAGCTCTGGTGCCCACGTTCTGTGCAGAGTGGCACATGTCTCTGACCACACCTACGTGCATTGCTGATGTCGGGTTTCAGACACCGTGCAAAGTCTCTCCTGGACCTTTCTATACTGTAGAATTATGACTTAACATCATCTCTTCCTTGCCAAATTTTTCTGAATGTGACTTTTTGCTGATTTGCTGGGTTTGGGATTAAGTAGCATTATTTTGCCACCTTTCATGTATTTATAAAGAAATAAGTACGATCTTACCACTTTGGATTGTTGTGCTGGTGTAATGTGGATTTAACATCAATAAATATTTAACAAATAATAGTTGCAATTTTATGAAGCAAATATTCAGTCGTTTTCATTTTCTATTGCTTGCTGTAATAAACTGGTACAGACTAGAACTACTGTGTCTGCTGCAGTGCATTCTCACCTGAGCGCAAGCACCTGGGACAGAATTGGGCTCCTTGCGGCTGTAGGACGGGGTCCCACGTGGTCTGTCAGCGGGGAGCACTGGGCTGCTACAGGCCGTGTCACCCCCCTCCCCTCACCAAAACCGGCAGTGAGAATCCCCCTTGGGACAAATCCCTCTCACGCTTTGACTGTGGTCAAGGAGAGTCCTGTGCCTTTTAAGGGACCATCTGATCTGGGATCTGTGTATGGGTGAGAGAGAAGGGGGGTGCACCCCGGGGGGGGGGTGGACGCTGGCAGCTGGCTCAGAACCCTGCCTGCCTCAGCAGTTTACCGGACATGTGCCTGTGAGTAACAGTGGATCCTGTGATCCCCTGGGAAAGCGTCCTGCAACCACATACCATAGCTGCTCTCTTAGGGATTAAGTATACGGGGTTCTGGCTCAAGAGTTCCTCCCCCAGACACACCAGATCCGCTACTACGTACAGACCCATTTCCTCCGAAAGAAACCGCGGGTGAATGAGAACAGACCCACGTCACAACAGGAGGGCTGAGGCAAAGCCTCACTGTGACCCCCACTGCCCGGCACAGTGACCCACAGTGAGGAGGGAACTCAACCCCAAGCTTTCCCTGGGGAGTGAAGGGTTTGAACCTCTCACCAGGACCCCAACTTTTAAGGCCTGCCTCTGAGACCAGCCCCCAAGACGTGTAGCTTTGAAAGCCAACGGGGCTTCTGTCCATGAGACAAGGCTGCGGGGCACTGGGAGATGCTTCTTCCAGGGCTGCATGGACTGGGCCAGCACAGAGGCCGCCGACTGAAAAGCGCCCAGACCTTCTGTGAAAGAGGCTTTTTTGCTTACGTTCAGCCTGAGGGACAGACATCTAGCTGGGCACGTGTCAGGCCAACCCGAGTGCTCTCTAGAAACCCCCAAGGGCAGGCACTGTCTTCACGCCATCCCTCTGCCTCCAGATTGCCACTAGCTCCCGTAAAGGGGTCCGTGCACTGGCCTGGGCCCCAGGGGACACCTGAATGGCCTAGCTCTGCCGGCCAGGGGGGCTTATATTTGCGAGTCCCATAAGTCTGTAACGGAGAAACAGTTCTTACCCTGCTATCCCCCGGGGCAGAGCACACAGGCAGCACGCTGAAGCACCCCAGTCTCTCTGTGACACAGGGCAGTTGTCTTCAGAGCTATGGCATAAGGGGCAGGCTTCTAATTAAACACACACCTGGGGGCCGACTGCAGCCCTCTCCAGAGGGGGGCCCTGTCCCAGTTCACCTGTGTCTGGAAGAAAGGAGTGGGCACAGGAGTAGCAGCCAGGTGTGGCTGCCACCCACTGTGATTTTAAACCTTCCAACAAAAGTCCAGGACCAGAAGGCTTCACAGGTGAATTCAATCCAACATTTAGAGAAGAGCTAACACCCATCCTCAAACTCTTCCAGAAAATTGCAGAGAAAGGAACACTCCCAAGCTCATTCTACAAGGCCACCACCATCACCCTGATACCAAAACCAGACAAGGATGTCACAAAGAAAGAAAATTACAGGCCAATGTCACTGATGAACATAGAGGCAAAAATCCTCAACAAAATACTAGCAAACAGAATCCAACAAAACATTAAAAGGATCTTTCACCACGATCACGTGGGATTTATCCCGGGGATGCAAGGATTCTTCAATATATGCAAAATCAATCAATGTGATACACCATATTAACAAATCGAAAAATAATAAATAGCAGCATCTCGACAGTCCTCGCGGAGAGTCGCCGCAGATTCTTGCTTCAACAGTGCTTGGACGGAACCCGGCGCTCGTCCCCCGCCCCAGCCGGCCGCTCAGAGCCAGCCCTCGCCACCACCTCACAGCGCCCTCCGACTGCCCCAAGGTCCCCGCTGCCGTTACAGCGCCGCGCAGCCACCGCCACCGTTTCACCTCAGCCGCCCACCATGACGACCGCATGCCCCTTGCAGATGCACCAGAACTACCACCAGGACTCGGAGGAGGCTGCCATCAACCACCAGATCAACCTGGAGCGCTACGCCTCCTACGTCTACCTGTCCATGTCGTACTATTTTGACCGTGATGATGTGGCTTTGAAGAACTTGGCCAAATACTTTCTTCACCAATCTTGTGAGGAGAGGGAACATGCTGAGAAACTGATGAAGCTGCAGAACCACCGGGGTGGCCGAATCTTCCTTCAGGATATCAAGAAACCAGACCGTGATGACTGGGAGAGTGGGCTGAATGCAATGGAATGTGCGCTACACTTGGAAAAAAGTGTGACTCAGTCACTACTGGAACTGCACCAACTGGCCACGGAGAAAAATGACCCCCATTGGTGTGACTGCATTGAGACTCATTATCTGAATGGGCAGGTGAAATCCATTCAAGAACTGGGTGACCACGCAGCCAACTTGCGCACAATGGGGGCCCCCGAATCTGGCATGGCACGGTATCTTTTAGACAAGCACACCCTGGGAAACAGGGATGATGAGAGCTAAGCCTTAGGCTGGCTTCCCGTAGCCACAGGGGTGACTTCCCTGGTCACCAAGGCAGTGCATGCATGTTTGGGTTACCTTACCTTTTCTGTAAGTTGTACCAGAATATCTACAAGTCCTTTCCTTAGTACCATTCCTTCAAATAAAGTAATTTGGTACCCCCCCCAAAAAAAGCATCATCTCAATAGACACAGAAAAGGCTTTTGACAAAAGTCAACAGCCACTTATGATAAAAACTCTCCAGAAAGTGGGCATAGAGGGAACCTACCTCAATATAGTAAAGGTCATATACGACAATCCCACAGCAAACATCATTCTCACTGGTGAAAAACTGAAAGCATTTCCTCTAAGATCAGGAACAAGACAAGGATGTCCACTCTCACCACTATTATTCAACATAGTTTTGGAAGTCCTAGCCATGGCAATTAGAAGAAAAAGAAATAAAAGGAATACAAATTGGAAAAGTCACTGTTTGCAGGTGACATGATACTACACATAGAAAATCCTAAATATATTACCAGAAAACTACTGGAGCTCATCAGTGAATCTGGTAAAGTTGCAGGATACAAAAATAATACACAGAAATCTCTTGCATTCCTATACACTAACAACAAAAGATCAAAAGGAGAAATTAAGGGAAAAATCCCACTGACCATCGCAACAAAAAGAATAAAATACCTAAGAATAAACCTACCTAAGAAAGCAAAAGACCTGTACTCAGAAAACTATAAGACACTGATGAAAGAAATCAGAGACAACACAAACAAATGGAGAGATATACCACATTTTTGGATTGGAAGAATCAATATTGTGAAAGTGACTATACTACCCAAAGCAATCTACAGATTCAATGCAATCCCTATGATATTTCTTAAAGAATTAGAACAAAAAAATTTATAATTTCTGTGGAGACACAGAAGACCTCAAATAGCCAAAGGAATCTTGAGAAAGAAAAACAGAGCTGGAGGAATCAGACTACCTGACTTTGTACTACAAATCTCAAGTAATCAGAACAGTATGCTACTGTCACAAAGACTGAAATACAGATCAGTGGAACAGGATAGAAAGTCCAGTGATACACCCACATACATATGGTCAATTAATCTATGATGAACAAGGCAAGAGTATACAATTGGGAAAACACAGTCTCTTCAATAAGCAGTGCTGGGAAAAGTGGACAGCTACATGTGAAAGAATGAAATTACAACACTCCCTAACACCATACACAAAAATAAACTCAAAATGGATTAAAGATATAAATGTAAGGCCAGACACTATAAAACTCTTAGGAAAAAACATAGGCAGAACACTCTTTAACATAAAACACAGCAAGATCTTTTTTTTTTTTTTTTTTTTGCAGTACGCGGGCCTCTCACTGTTGTGGCCTCTCCCGCTGCGGAGCACAGGCTCCGGACACGCAGGCTCAGCGGCCATGGCTCAGGGGCCCAGCCGCTCCGTGACATGTGGGATCCTCCCAGACCAGGGCACGAACCCGTGTCCCCTGCATCGGCAGGCGGACTCTCAACCACTGTGCCACCAGGGAAGCCCCAGCAAGATCTTTTTTGATCCACTTCCTAGAGTACTGAAAATAAAAACAACAGTAAACAAATGGAACCTAATTAAACTTAAGAACTATTGCATAGCAAAGGAAACGATAAACAAAACGAAAAGACAACCTATGGACTGGGAGAAAATATTTGCCAACAATGCAACCGACAAGGGATTAATCTCCAAAATATACAAACTTATGCAGCTCAATATCAAAAAATCAAACAACCCAATCAAAAAATGGACAGAAGACCTGAATAGACATTTCTCCAAAGAGACATACAGATGGCCAAGAGGTACATGAAAAGATGCTCAAAATCACTAATTATTAGAGAAATGCAAATCAAAACTACAATGAGGTATTCCCTCATACTGGTCAGAGTGGCCAGCATCAAAAAATGTACAAACAATAAATGCTGGAGCAGGTCTGGAGAAAAGGGAGCCCTCCTATGCTGTTGGTTGGGAATGTCAACTGGTGCAGCCACTATGGAGAACAGTATGGAGGTTCCTTAAACAACTAAAAACAGAACTACCATATGACCCAGCAATCCCACTCCTGGGCATATACCTGGAGAAAACCATAATTCAGAATGATACATGCACCCCAATGTTCACTGTAGCACTGTTTACAATAGTCAAGACATGGAAGCAACCTAAATGCCCACTGACAGATGAATGGATAAAGAAGATGTGGTGTTTATATGTGTGTGTATGTGTATATACACACATACACACACACATACAACGGAATGTTAGCCATAAAAAAGAACAAAACAATGCCATTTGCAGCAACATGGGTGGACCTAGAGATTGTTAAACTGTGTGAAGTCAGACACAGAAAGACAAATATCATATGGTATTGTTTATATGTGGAATCTTAAAAAAATTACAAATGAACTCATTTACAAAACAGAAATAGAGTCACGGATGTAGAAAACAAACTTATGGT